GAACACGAACAAATCTCCAGAAAGACGTCGAAGATCCACTGAACATGGTGAAGATCGACGCGACCTGGCTAAACCGAATGAGGTTATTGATGAACTTGCAAGGAGGAAGGTTCTTGGACATTGAAGAAATTCTGGAAAAAGTCATGAAGATTGTAGAAGATCTTGATGCATGTTCTTGAAGATGAGTGTCGTCTAAAGAATCTCTTGAAGGCGTAATGGATCTATAGAGTTTCTGAAGCAAACTTGAAGGATTGAAGAACGCGATGAAGTTTAACGAACATCTACGAGGTTACCTGAACGAAGATTATGAGATCTGGAGCGGTTTGAGCGGTCTTGGTGAATCTGGCAAAACTGGAAAACGGTGATGAAGATCGGATGAAGACCTCGAGCGTTTCTGGAAAGGTCAGGAAGCACAAGGATGAAGGTGGTTGATGGAGTATGATGAATTTCTGGAAAACGGATGAGCAGATCTTGATGAAGATCTTGAGTTTCTGGAGGATAGATGAAGAACACATGAAGTTCTTGAAGATTTTGACGAAGGAATCTGGAAAACGTGACGTTTGTTGGACGAGTGTTCTTGAATTCTGATGAGTTTTCTGATGACGAATGAATTTTCCGGTGAGATCTCCGGCGAAGGCATGAACAGGATGGATGAGGAAGATGAAGATCGAAGGGTTTTCTGGGCAAAATGCGGATTCTGGTGGAGTTTTGGCCGTGAGGACCGCCATGTGATTTCACCGGCGAGAGAACTCCGGCATTTGCATGGACTCCGGCGACGTCTCCGGTGAGAGCATGGTGAGTGGGACACGTGGCGTTGCTGCGTCGTGCATGGGGGACGCGTGGGAGTGGTAGTGGATGAGGTGGTGGCTTGTGGATGTGAAACGTGGCAAGGAAATGGGAGAGTCTGAAATGAAAACGTGGCTGAGGTGGGAGAGTAAAAAGTGGCAAAACGAAGTGGGACCCTGAAATGAAACATGGCGGTGGAAGAGGAGACCTTCAGCATGCACGCGTGGCTGCTTTTATAGATTGACACATGGCAGAACCTGGGGACTGGGCCTCCAAAAACTGGGCCCAACGAAAAGGGATTGATTAATATCTGATTAGTGACTAAATGAAGACCTAATTAAACTAATGAATACTCAATTAACACTAACTAAGATTTAAAACTACAATTAAGGCAAACTGAAAATTAAAAACAGATCTAATCCTAATTAAAACTAAGAAACTCTAATTAACATCTAAACAAATGATTAAAATCTAATTAAACTCTATTAAATCCTAATTAAATCTAAAAAAGAGGATTAACCTATAAAACCCTATTAATTCTAATTAATGAAAAATCTATTAACCTCTAATAATTCCACTAATTTCTATACAAACAAAAAATAGAAAATTCTATTAATTTCTATTTTAAAAATCCTAATAAAAGAATATCCTATTAAAAATTATTAACTAAAAATTCTACTTAATATCTAATAATAATATGATATATTCTAAAAATCTATTATCTAAAATGATTAAAGAAATTCCTAAAAAAGGGAAATTAAAACTAAACTATTTAAAAACAAATAATATCTATTAAAAAATAACTAATACCTAGAAAAATCCAATTAAACCTATTAAAAATTCTAGAAAAATAAGGGGAAAAATCTAAAAAGGCGAGGAAGCCGATTAAATCGATTAGCGACTATATCGAAATAAACGGTAAAAACCCCGGACACCGAGATGTCCTCAAAAACAACAGCGAGAGCTGAAAACACCGGGACGAGCACCGATTTTCAAAATACGTCCTCGTATTGGCTTGAAATGCCTGAAGCGCGATCAGAGGGCTGTAATCCCGACAAAGTCATCCTGACTGGAAAAAATGCAATGTACGTGGTATGCAAATGCGAAATGAAATGAGTCGAAACATGAGCCAAACTGCGATAAGTAGTTGGTCAAATTTTGGGGTGCAACACCTAGGTATCCCGCTGTGGACGAAAATGCCCTTTACCCTAGCATTAGGTCAAAGAGTCTTCGTGCTCTGTTTTAGGGTTTCCCGCCGTGGAATCCCTAATTTCAATTCAATAATTCAACGTAGAAATCGGAGTTCCAAAACTCCACCTAAGTGTTTCCATAAGAAATGCTTACTCCCCATCGAAACCTTGGCCACAATCAAGAAGTTTCTAACCTCCCTCTCGAGGGGAACTACGATTACTCCGATTCTATCCCCTACCTAGGATACGTAGGCACAAGATGCGAATCTTGGCGAGTAAACTTAGGACTAACCCTTAGGTCTCTTTGTCACTCTTAACTCTTAGCTCAGTATATACCCTAAATCAAATGATAAAGCAAAATAGTAAAAATAAACAAAAGGTTCCTGTAGAGTACTACATAAGTTTAGGGTGTTAATACCTTCCCTAAGCTTAACCAACCCCTTACCTAGGTCTCTCCCCGCATCGTCCTTACGATGCAAAATTAGGTTTCCCTCTTTTGACCTTTTCCTTCTAATAAATCAAAGAGCGGTTGTGAACTAAAGATGCGATTCAAATTAATTAATAATTTGATATCATATTCTAACCGCAACAGTGCTCCTAGAAGATAAACCAAAATCGAAGCAAATACGAAAGCGTACATTGGAATGAGAGATGGGTACATGTATGTTACACGAGATTGTATGAAATAAAAGGGTTCATTGTCAGGTAGCCCAAGAGGAATTCGTATGTGTGCGAAGTGTGCTAAATTATGCCTTGAGCAAAAGTCAGACAAAAAAGCTGCAAGTTAGGGTTTCTGATAAAGTCCAAGTTCCGTTGATCGGAAAATTAACCAACAGTCCACTAATTTAGGCTTTTATTATTTCGATAATTGTTATGTGTTTTCGAAAAGTATGAATAAGATATGAATAATATTGTTGCGGTGAAAATCAGATATCAAGCTATTGATTAACTTGAATCTTAATTCATTGAAGTTCACCACCGAGCTTTGATTTATCCAAAAGAAAGATTAAAGAACAAATAAACCTTTTCTGTGATGTAACAACAACGCTAAAGATTCAGAGATCAGGGGTTGGTTATACCTAGGGTAGGTATTTCACATCCTAGACATCTGTAGTACTCTACAGGAACCTTTTGTGTGTGTATTCTATGTCATCTAAGTTGTTTACTATGATTACTGGATCAAAGTTAGGGTAAAATTTAAGGTAAAGACCTAAGGATAGTTCTAAGTTTGCTCGCAAAGATATCGCATGTTATGCCTACGTATCCTGACTAGGATGGAATCAGAGCAACTGTAGTTCTTCTCACTAGGGTTTGGAGAATACTTGACTATGGTCAAGACTCCAAGAGGAACAAACATAACAACGTTTGTATACAGTTTGAAAAAAAAACTCTTTAGATCTAAGTTAAACACTCAAAGAGATTTACTTTCACAAAATCCAAGAGGGGAGTGAATAATCATGACAATGATCCTTACATAGAGTTAACAAACTCTATCTTAAAGTTCTAATTGAAGGATACTCCTAACAAGGGGCATGTCTTTTAAACTTGAAGCAAAGTCTAATGGATATAGGTTCTAACTTAACTAAGTTAAAGGACCTAATGACTTAACCAAGTCAAGGGGAGGGGTGATGAGCTACCTATGACAGTGAAGTCAATAAAGAGCGACTTTCCTCTAAAATAAGGAAAAAAACAAGGCAACTGAATGAGAAATAACAAGTTCCATCACTTGAGAAAACTTAACAAACTTAAAGAATGCATAAGCAGTCATTCAAACATGATGAAAGTATGAAAAGCATGGTAACAACCAAGAAAGCAAACATGAAACATGTGTAACAACAACAAATTCATCAATGGTAAACAAAATAAAACTCATGCATACAAGTTACTACTTGACATATGAATCAAATAAAGATAAATGTAACAACATTCAATTACATTTAAGTTCCTAAATTTTTATTATTGACTTAGTATTCTGAATCATAACCATCTTGTCTAATTTAAAATGTTGAGCTTGGTGCTTTCCATAGATTGAGAAACCAAAACACAATTTAAGAGACTTAAAAAAAAGTGTTCCAATTAGATAATAGGTGGTTTTAAAACATCCACTGATACCATCTTAAAGCTTCTCATTTTATATAAAAAAACCGTCATGGACAATCAATTTTATAAAAGGATGTTATAAAAAAGCAAAAAAATTGACCTGCTTAAAAAACCAATCTAAAGCATTAGTTCCATAAATAAAAAATAAATAAAAATCAATCGTTAACTCAATTTTAGGGTTCTAAAAGAGATTATGAAAAATTGTTATTTCACATAAAAGATGGACATAAGTGACTATAAAAGCTCCAACAGAGTTTATACATGATACCTTCCTCACCCTTGAATCCCACTAACTCTGAATGTTGTCATCACCTTTTTTCCACGTAAGCATATACCTCTATTCACTTCCCTCACCCCACACAAAGGGAATCATACCCACAATTCAACTATCTACTCCAGCACGCCCACCCCGCTCTCTTTCCCCCAACCCCAACCTATGTTACACTCTCCACACTCGGCTTTTATAGTTGTCCCAACCATCACATTTAAATTCGGCATGTCCATTCATAAAACACAATTACTTAAATAGTTACTATCCTTCTTAATGGATCTAGCAACATTGACTTCAAGCTCATTTAAAGAAATTAAAATTAATAAAATTACTAATTTATGTGATCTAATGCATATCATAATTATGCTATCAAAAGGGTTTTTTAATAATTTTCTTAGAAATGCAAAGTAATAATATACTTATAACTACTAACGGAATCGCACAGTGATGTTCAACTCATAATGATATCCGCAACTAATATAAGGGAACATCCTGCTAAATTTTCATATATGGAAATTCCAAAATGATTAGTAATATGTTAAAAAAATGAAGAAAAAAATGTTTAAAAAATCTATTCCAGCAGAAAAAAACGAACTTTACAGTAATAAATATTAATAATTAAAGGGTGTGCAAAGGTTCTGAACAGCATGAAATCATTGTGTGGGTGGTGAAGACAATGAAAGTTTCAAAAGTAAGCCAAACAAGACGCCAATAAAGCCCACAAACATAGCAAAAGTGAAGGAGAAACCCGGATCACTTCTACTTCTCCTCCTTTTCAGCAGGTCCTGTTTATCCAGAAAACATATGGATTTGGATTAACTGATATTTTAGCCATAGTACTCAAACATCATATGATCATAGAACAATGTAGGACAACATATAGCATAATTACCAGTTCCTGTTGCAGTTGCCGCGTTTGTCTGACAGCAGCATCTCTTTCCTCCTTCAGTTGTTGCAAGCTTTGATTCTTCAAACAAAGATAATTTAATTAAGTTCAATCGAATTTAAGCAGTGGATTTGTAAAAAAATTTGACCAGAGGATATTAAATACTAAAATGAATTTGTAAAAAATTTGACTAGAGGATATTAAATACTAAAATGAAAGAAATAGTTCACAGTGAAGCAAAAGACATATGCAACGTAAAGCTATAAAAGTAAAACTTTGAAATCTGATAAACTCACCGAATAAGTATCAAATTTTTGTGCGGATTTCTTCACTGCATTATCTCTAGTGCTTCCTCCAGGTGAGGTAGGAAACATATATACAACTTTTAGTTTCAATTCTTCTGTTAACTTTCCACTATTCTTATTAAACTGCAAGCAAAAAGAATGTGACCATGATCATTTTTTCTTATCATATTCGTAGGAATGGTCCTGTAAAACAAAGTTATTAACTCACTTACAGTATCTGGTGGAAGATCATCAACATCAATGTTTGGATCCAGAGCTGTAGTTTGTATGAGAAACTTATCTTTGCTTTGCATGTCAGGAGGATATTCTTGTTGGGCTTGGAGGGTGACTGTGCATCACAAAACCGGAGAGTATGATAGATGCTAAAGAAACAAGATTTATAAATGTTTCTATAATAGTGATAAGAAGTACCTCTGATGATGCAAGAGTCCCATGACTGTATAACACCGGTGTTAGGCCGAACAAAGTACTTCTTAGGTGAAGTTGTCTTCACCTGGCAAAATAACATAACAGTAGAATCACTATGCAAACCATGCACTGAAGAACCAGTAGAAAAGCATTTATAGATACAATAACTTAGTTTCTCGGTCCTGTAAGGAGAGTTAAGAAGGTACCTTAAAAGCAACGAAGTTCTCTGTCTTATTCAAAACTTTAAGATCGCAAAATGTTTGCTTCTCCAACTCAACTGATACCATGAAGATTAGCAGTATAACCGCGTAAGAACTCAAGATTAATGAAGACAGCAAAAGGCAAAGAAATTAGGATTACCAATTCTGACATTTTACTAACACTACCAAAGTTTTATATGCATTGCCTTTAAAGTTTAAACTACAAAACAACTTTCATTATATTGAAATATTCTGTTTCCCTAATTGATTTACATAGAGGAGAAACCAAAATTCAAAGTTAAAAACAAAAAAAAACAAGTGAAGTAGAAGTGCTCCTTGTATAAGATGTAACTAGTAACTACACAAAACTAAACCAACTCTCCAGTGTATTCAAAGAGAATACATTTATTTTTTTCAACAATAGTTTTACTGGTCCATTTTGTTAAAACCAATAACTACCATACTGGTTTTATGATAGAATGTCTTATATATATAGCCTTACACATGTCATAGATCCATGTCATATAGATTCGATAAAGTTTTACGTTGGTTGTCGAAAGCCTAACACAACCCTCTCCTTTTATCCGGACTTGAGACCGGCTATGCATAGCAAAGCTAACATAATATAGCCTTACACATGATTCAAAGAAAAATTAAAAGCGTGAAAGTTGACACAAAACCACATTTTACAAGGCTTATAACTGGAAGGCCAGGTCATACCTTGCAATTCCTAATAAATATGAAAAAAATTAAACATAAACTAGGATACTAATAATGACACAACAATCAAGTATTCCATCTCTTAAACTATATGAAGAATGCATTTATTTTATTTGAAGCTTCAATCATTTCCATCATCATGCTTAGTTCAAAATATTGATCTAATTTTATGTGTCCTGTCATTATGTTTGCAACTTGCTCTTGAGAGTTGCAGTAGCTCAATTCCACAACTCCATCTTATATCAAATCTCAAAAAATAAAATTTTATATCAATGTATTGGCTTCTGCTATGAAAAACCGAATTCTTTAAAAGCTTAATTGTTGAGCATTATTGTACTAAATAACAGGGCTCTTTTCTCTTTATGACCAAGCTTTTCTAACACTCTTCTCAACCAAAGAGATTGACAAGGATAAGATGCAGCAGCTACATACTCAGCATTAGTAGTGGACTATAGTGCTGTCAATTGCGGATAGCGGAAAATAGTGGATTGTTGAAATTTTGGTATGCATTAGAGCTATCGCGACTATTTGGCCACTTTTTGTATTGAATAGCATAGTACGGAACAATAGCGGTTTGTTCAAATTCTGCTATGCTATAGCCGTATAGCACCACCATACCGGCTATTTAACAACATTGGACAATGTCACAACAGACTGTTGTTTTAGAGGACCATGACACGGCTGCAGAACCAAGAGAGAAAATAAATCCATAAGTGTTCCTCCGATTATCCAAATCAATGGCAAAGCAACTGACAGTGTATGCCACCAAGTTTAAGTTTCCTCCCTTCTTGTAAAAAATACCCAATTCAGTTATACATTTGAAGTAAAAGTTCAACAATAAAGGTTTTAAAGAATTCAGTTCTTCATGACAGAAGCAAACACATTGTTATAAAATTTCATTTTTTGAAAGATTTGATGAAAGGGAGAGTTAAGGTATTAAGCTACTGCAATTCTCAAAAGCAGATTGCAGACAAAGCACATACAATTAGATCAATATTTAAAACTTTGCAGGATGATGGAAATGGTTGAAGCTTCAAAAATAAACTAAATAAACTAAATGCATTTTGCATATGGTTTAAGGGAGGCAATGATAGATTGTTACGTGATATTAAAGCTTTGAATTATGTGTAACGCTATATAGACTGGCTATATATGACACATTATACACCGGAAACATAATAGGCCGGATATATTGATTGTTCAATTAATCAAAAATGTAAATTTTTTTATGATATATTATAACCTAAACTGTGATTAATTTCTACGTAAAATTCCCTAACCAAAACAATAAAATTTCCCCAAATTGGATCGATAAAAACAACACTACATGCAAGTCAATTCTCAAGTATTGATGAATTTCGCAATTGAATATTAAAACGTAGATTTTGGTTACAAAAATGAAGAAGAAAAACAGAGATAAGATGAGATTACATACATTGGAAACGTAGCTCGGAAGGATTAATGGATATGAATGAATTTTCAATAGAATCAGTAGCCATGGCGAAGGGATCGAAGCTTCTAGAATCACGCATCAATTGGTACACACCGAAGGCCGCTTCCATTCACATTCGCAACAATATCATTAAGAAACTGCGTGAAAGGCAAGATTAAAAGGTGTATGAGCAATGGCGGTTTCAATCCAAACAATGCAACCGAAAATAAAAAATAATGTAGAATATGAATATTGCTAGTAATTTGTAACCTTTGAGATCGCGCTGAAAAACATGTATTGCGATGGAAACGCCAGAGACGGGTGGTTTGGTAGTGGGTTGTTTTGTGCTGCGGAACCGTTATGATGTTATGGGAATGAATGAGAGAAGAAGCATTAGAGTGAGAAAGATGTTGAGCGAGAGATAAATGGCGCACGTGTCAAAAGGAGTTAGATTAACGTCCGGTTCAAAAGTGCGTGCAATACTGGACTGACTGAATCTGAATCAGCAATGTTTTTTAATTAAAAAAATTAATAGATATTTTTGTCTTCAGCCATATGAATTTTTTTAATTATTTATCATAAAAAATGGTGATATACTCATAGTAAATTATTTTTATCTATCGATCAACTACAATGCATTTCACCATATCACAATTATATTTTAATTTCTTTTTAATAATATTATTGTAGTGTTGGTTTTCGAGCGAATAAATCAAGGCATATCTATTAAATTTTATTTATTATTTTTTTTTCTATTTTTCTATTTTTCTATTTTTATTTTTTATTTTATTAAAATATGTAAATTTATAAAATGTGATAATCGTATTTAACCGATCTTTGAATATTAAATATAGTTTTTTATTCATTAAACTGCCTTTCAGTTGATTTTTATTTTTTTCAAATATATTTATAACATATATCTAACTTGTTTTGCCCATGTTCATTGTGGGATGTACACTAAATTGGCTCACAGTAATTTATGCATTAACAAGTTAGATGAGAGAAGAAGGTTGTGAGGATCTTTAGACCATAGGGCAAAACCAACATGGACCATGGAGCATCCATTGTGGAGGATTTCAATAATGTCTTAAGCACTCAAGATAGAGTTGGTGGGAAACGTATCCAAGAAGCTGAGTTTGCTGACTTGAGAGAAATGATTGATAACATAGGCTTTTTCGAAGTAGAGAGGATGGGGTGATTGGTATACTTGGTCTAATAAACACAGTGAATGAATCATCTAATATAGAATTGATAGAGTCATATATTAGCTCCAGCGAAACATGGATAAAACTCTATATGTCATTGAGCTTAGTATCTCAGACCATGCTCTCTTATGTCTTAAAGGAGAGGAAGAGATCTCCTACACAGTTCAAATTTACCAATAGTGTGACTGAGATAGAGGGGTATGCAATTGCAGTTGGTAACAGTTGGAGTTAGCCTGCAACAGGGGATTTAGTGAAGATTTTATGGACTATACTAATGAGGTTGAAACCCATTACGAGGAAGTAGAGTACACCAATAGCTTTAATCAAAAATCAAATTGAAAAGGAGAAGAATTCTCTAACTGAGGCTCAAAAGTTGTTAGTACATAACAAAATGAATGTTCAATTATTAATTCATGTCAAACATTGCACTGATGAGCTGATTAAGCTAAATGATATTAAGGACCAGGTTCTTAGGCAAAGAGCTAAGATTGATTGGATTATGTTGGGAGATGGGAACAAATTCTATTTCTATGCAGCCTTAAAGAGTAAACAATGGAGTACAAGTATGAGAAATCTATGTAAAGTTGATGGGACCATGATTAACACTCATACAGATATTGAAGAGGGGCCTTAGAGTTCTATGGGAAACTAATGGGAACTGTTGAACCTCAAATGGAAGGTGTTGACATTGTGGCAATGAGAGTTGGAAACCAACTTATTATGGACCAAAGATCTATGCTGGTTGGAACTATTAGTGTTCAGAAGATTGAAAATTCCTTGAAAAGCATTGGAGACCTCAAAGCCTCTGGTATAGATGTCTTTGGCTCAAATTTTTTTTACAAAGTCTTGGAGAATTGTTAAGAATGATGTAGTTGCTGCAGTGATGGATTTTTTTTAACAGGGGGAGGATGAAGAAGGAAAATAAATAACACTTTGGGTACCTTAATCCCTAAGCACGTTGAGGCTATATAAATGTTAGATGCCTAACTTTGCTTATTTGAGTTATCGAATGTGGGCATCTTTCACTCCTTTTTGTCAAGAAAGTGTTTAAAATCACTCTTGCTTTGGTTGTTTTGCAACTTTATGGGAAAATGTCTAGGTACCTTTGATTTGTGTGTTATTGTGCAGAAATTAGGCATGAAAAAGTGGAAATTAAGACACAAGAAAGATGGCAAAGAAACCAAGACAGCATGCAAACAACGCGAAGCTGCCACCAAAACTTCACAAAGTTCGCTAGGCGAACTATGTAGCGAAGGCCAGGAATCCAAAACAGTAAGGAAAGGGCCATAAACTCGCTAGGTAAAGAAGGAAGCGAATAGATCGCTAAGCGAAGAGGTAACGAGCACTCCTAGACTTAAATTAACAAGGAAAGGGCCATAAATTCGTTGTGCGAAGTGTGCAGCAAAGGCTTCGCTAGGAGAATATTTCTTCGCACAGCGAACATTGGGATTTTTGTCTAGGGAGCTGTTACAAGACTTTGGCACTTCAGGTGCCATTTTGGGTGTTCGCTAGGCGAACAATTCGTTCGCACTACGAACGTGACAGCATAGCAGTCACTTTTATAAGTAGTATGAGCTACTTTTTGTAAAAATATCTAATTTTCTTGTACTTGCATTTTGAGAGGATTTTCTGACCTAGAAACCTCATTCCTCCATTTCTCATCATCTTTTAGCAATATTTCATAAAAAGAAGGTGGATTCCCATCCAATCTCGATTATTTGACTCGGATGTTGATCAACCTTCTTCCGAAACTTGTTGCTCAAGCTATCATGCAAATGGTTGGCTAAATCCATCTCTTGTCAAGGTTAGAAGTAGTTAGTTCAGATTTTATGTATTCCATTTGATCTTTTGTATGTGAACAAATGTTGTGTTCAATATATATAAAGTTATTTGCTACTCTTTGTACATTTATGGTTTGGAATGCTTTAGACATGAACTTTCCAAGTCTTGACCTGATATCTTCATCTATCAACTATACAAATTCTAGACATAGGTTTGAAAGTTGATATTCGCTTTGTATTGATCTTAACGCTTATTGTTTCGATTGTTACTTAGAGAGATCATTTAATGGTCGAAACAATAACAACCACGAAATCGATTTAGACATGAACGTTTTTATGAGGATACGCAGTTATGTTGGTTAAAACTTTGTTCACATATTTGATTGGGTGAATACGTTTAGGACGAACTAGCGAACCCTAATCTTGACATGTTTTTATTAAACTTAGACTGAATTTTATTCCGCTTTCTTTCTTGCAAACTTTTGTTACAAAAATTGAAACCTTTCTAAAAACCCCTTTTCTTAAGACATTAAACTGTTGAACGACAAGCATTTATATTCTCTTCAATCCCTGTGGAGACGATAAAACACTACCCCAAAATACCTTATAACAAATTGGCGCCATTGTCGGGGATTGTTAGTAGAATATTGCAAGCATTGCAATAGTTTAGTGTTTTTAAGATTTTTGTATTGTGAATCTCTTATCTTCGTAATTCTTTGTAATTTTTAATCTATTTGGTTCGTGTGCAGAATTTGTTTATGCAAGGACAGGTTCGGCCTGAAAACCTTCTTTTCGATCCTGAGATTGAGAGAACTACTCGCCGCATCAATAGTCGCACAAGGCGAAGACGGAAATAAACTATTCAGAGATAAGAGCACGGAGAATCTTCTTCATCCACTCCACCTAATTCACCAATTATGGCACCACCACCACCATCTCCACCTCCAGTTTCCGTTCCATGTACGAATAGTCCAAGACGCACCACTCAGTTTGTGCATAATCTCCAAAATGGAAGACAAGCCGAGATGAAGATTGGAATCTTTGCACTCATTTATCAAAATCCTTTCACAAGTTAGATCATGAGGATCCGTTTACACATCTTACCAAATTCTATGAGATTGCGGGTGCAACGGGAGCAACAAAAGCTTATGAAGAGTCATTGTTCAAAAGGTTATTTCCTCATTATTTGATTGGGAAAGCGAAGGAATGGTATCTTGATCAATCAACGACAATTATGACGGATTGGAATCTATTGGAAGAGAAGTTTCTTGAACGGTTCTTTCTATATAACCGTTTCATGGAAACAAAAACTGCGATAGCTGTGTTTTCACAAGGAGGAAGTGAATCCCTCGACGAAGCTTGGGAGAGATTCAAGTCTATGTTGAGGAAATGCAAAGGACACGGTTTTGACGAACTCACTCAAGTTCATATTTTCCGCAATGGTCTCCTTTCGGTTCACAAGACCTTATTGGATGCTACAGCAGGGGGTTCTTTGATGTCTAAAAGCGCTGAAGATGCAATAGCAATTATTGACAAGATGGCACTTAATGATCACCAAGGGAATCATAACCGTGGAGTAGCTCAAAGAAAACCAGGCGTGCTAGAGTTAGGTACTAATGATGCTATTCTTGCTCAAAACAAACTTCTTTCACAATAAGTGGAACTTTTAACGCAACAAATGTCAACGCTTCCACAACAAATCAAAGAGATGCAAGAAGTTCCTACCTGTTGCACCCCAAAATTTGCCCTATTTCAAGGCCTAACTCATTCCTTCATCCCTTTTTAAATTCAATGGCATAAGGGAGACTCATCATTCCAAATTCAAGGTTCATGAATTCAAGGATAGATTTAAGAATATTACAAAGAGAAATTTCATGACATTTGCAAGAATGTCATATTTGTTACAAAGCTCAAACTCTTGGCAATGCTTAGAAAATTAAGCTATTTCTAGTCTTACTTCAAGCTTCTAAATTAACTTCATGCCATGGAACCCTTCATGCCCCCATCAAGTCCACATGGTCCTTTTTGTGGTTGCAAACCTCCAAGGGAAATGTTTAAGAGTTAACTCAATATTGGAATATTTCAATATCAAGGCTATGCATGTATTCATGGGCAATTTGAATGTGACCCAAAACAACCCCATG